GTTGACAGAGGCTCTCAGGGCTCCTGTGATATCAGGGCTCTTGCACCCCAGTGGCCATTCTCATTGCAGTATCTCCGCACATGCACAGCCACCCGCAATATCATGGTTTTCAAGCAGTGAGGGAGGTGTGGACTCCAGTAGTGGGTGATGTCCTAGCTGGGAAGGGACACTGTGTCCCACACATTTGCTCCTGAGCAGGGGCACGAGTTGGTGAAGGCTAAGCACACCTTATAAATCATAGGACACTAAAGAGCCCCTGTCTCCCACTTCCCAGCCACACTGATTCTTCCCCAGGCTTCTATCAAAATGATTACAAGTGTTCAGAAACTCCCAGTCCTAAAACCACCCCTCACATCACACAGCTTTGGCTACTTTGGAACATAAAAGAAGCTCACCTGAACCAAGGATCGATGCACCTTCTTAAGGAGCAAAGCCCAGATCCTCAAAGGGATTTACGCTCCTAACTTCCACCGAAATCGAAGGAAGTGAGGAGCCTAAATACTTTTGAGGATCTGGGCCCAAGTGTCTGCTAAGTGTCTCCGGGGATAAGGCCCCACTAAAAATCAGTGAAAACTGAGCAAGAGGAGGTGTTTACTTTACACATGTTAAGATGTGCTTAGTCCACTAACAATAGAAGCAAAATATGGTGTGCTGAGACCACTGCCTATCATGCTGTCCAATACTGTCCCATTGTTTTCTTGCATAGTTCTTTCTTCCTCACTAGGCATCATTGTGACCCAGGCTTCACGGCTGACTTACTCATGGTCTTATATGGCATAATTTTATTGCTGAGAATTCCCTTTCCCTCATGGCTAATCCTTTAAATGCCTCAATTGGTCCCACTGCCTTCCGTGTTTCATAATTGGTAGTGCTGTCTGAGCCTCCACCTCCTCCACCTCAACAACAGTGATAAGTTGTCCAAGGTCGCTGCTTGTGCATACTTGCCTCAATGGTTTCCTCAGACTTTCTTCATTGAGTAATTTCTCATAAAACTGCTGTCACCTCCTAATGATTTCACTGGCTTCCACCAGTGCTCTTCCATTTTTGTTTTTGACACACCTCATGACTCCCAAGTCCCCTGTGCTTCTTTGCCCAATCTTGGCTAATGCATATATTCCTTTCCCCACTTCCTGAATAAGTAGCCCTGCATATAAGGCTTTAAGTGCTTGGCCCTTAGCTTCTGCAACAGCTCTTTTTGCCTTTTCCTCCCGCTTGTATTCCTCACCACTTCCTGCCCTTCTTACTTTCTGCCATTGCTTAAACTTTTCCTCCTTCTTTGTTACTGCCTTCTGCACATCACTGGACCAGCACTATGTCTCCCGGCCATGGAATTTCCCTTCTTTCATTTGCGCACAGCCAGCATTTGCCCTTTCTGTAATGTGTTTGGATATTTTCCCCCAAATCATGTTAGTATCATTGTGGTTGGTTTGGTTGTTGTCCAACCTTCATTGAACTTCATCCTTAAACCTGAGACTACCCAGGAGCCTCTGCCACTTTGTCCTTTGTTCCACAATTTGTCCCGCACTAGCCTTTACACCCAGAACTCCATTACAAGTAATCTATGTTGCTCCACAATCTGCTCTCCCGGAATCACTTTGCAATCAGTACTGCAGTCCAAACAATAAATAATCATAACCAAGAGTCAGAAGAGCCAGTTTTACCTCCCCCACCAAAGAAATGATGCTCCTCCGGCAAGCACTTCTGAAAAAGCCTCGTCCAACAAGCCACAGCGCTGGATGCAACTGCCTTTGCTCAGACTCTTTTCTATCAGAAACTGCACTGTAAAGGATAAAGTCTTATCCCATTGAAGTCAATGGGAATTGTGCCGTTGACTTCACCAGGGTCAGAATCCCTGCTCACAGTGAGGTCAGTGGGAACTTTGCTGATGATGTCAGTTGGAGCAGGAGCAGGATCTAAATTTTGGCCCAATCTGTCAAGGTGCTGAGCATCCGCTGTAGCTGTAGCTTTCAGGAACTCTGTAGCTTTCAGGAACAGGCCGGTTCTACATAGGAAAGGCATCCCTTTCTGCTGTGCTTAGCTTTGAGGACATGAGCAGAAGTGACAGCTGCCAGCTGACTCACAGTGTGTGTTATGGTTCGTACACAGACAGGTCTCCACAAGGACACAGATGGGCCATGCTTGCTATTGGGTTTAGTTGTTTAACCCTTTGTAGTCCTGGTGCTCTTCAAAGTTTGGAAATAACTTTTTTTCTCCCCCACCAGGACTTTTCTGTCTCTGTTTTGCCAACCCGGCTCTTCATGGTGTTAATTCTGAGCTGAACACAAATCTTAGCTCTAGAGAGGTCTCTGTTCTCTCTTGCATCAGCATTCTCCATGACTGACATTGGTACATCTGCCACTCTCCAAGATGCAAAGGTGGGAGAAGGCAGCACAAGCAGGTGGATCACACCCATACTCTGCCCTCTCCAGTGGCTACTTACCCAATGCCAGACCCATTCCACAAACCTGGTTCTTAGCCTCAACGCCCTACATGGCGTAGGGCCGGGCTATTGCAGAGAGACCTCACACCTCTACACCACCAGGGCATGATGGAACTAAGCTGGACACAGTCCAGGATTGAACTTGTGGAGGTGGGTGGCAGATGTTCTCTGCAGAGGGAACCTGATTGTGGAATCTGCTGCCACTGTAAACCAGGATAGGCAAGTCTAACCAAATATAGGACCCAATGCAGGACTCATTTCTTTCAGTAAACCATCCATTAGGAAGTGAGCAGGGAAACACCCTAACTGGGGCTGGATTTTTATACACCCTAATTGGGGCTATAATCAACCTGGATTTATTTACTGTACTTTTAAGTCAACCGCTTTAATCTATGGCAAATGGTTGTGATCTTTGTTCCTCTTCCTCGGGGGAACTGATCTACATCTAAATGCATATAAGGAACAGCTCCCAGACACCACTGGGACTGGCACCTTAGAAATATGGATAACAATAAAATACTGCTTAATGAATAGTAAAGTCCACACCCTTCCCTTGCTGATTTTGAACACTCCCTCTTGCTCAGCTAGGGTTCTCACCTACTCACTTTGGTCCTCCAGGTGCCAGATGTACATGGCTGAGCTGAAACTAGCAAAACCCTTTGGAGGAGGAGGACACAGGATAGATAGGGAAAAGAGGAGAAGCAGGGATAAGAAAGACAGCAGCAATAGAGGTGAAGACAGCTGTAGGGGAGGTGAAGATATTCATGAAGGGGAGGGAGGGAAGAATCCTGAGGGGTGAGTAGGAAGGGGAAAGTCGGTGGCTGAACGAATGCACACTGCTATATTTCTTCATCAGCTGCTTGTGACTCTGTTTCTGAAGCCAGAGCATTCAGTAGGAAAGAGCAGAGATCTTAGATCAAGGTTTGTTAGTTACCTGCTGTGGGGTCAGCACAAGGTATTGTGTTTTTGTAGGTCCTAACAAATGGAACAGTAGAGATGGAAACAAAATCTCTGTATTCTAAAAGAATTTCTGCTCATGAGGTCTGACTTTTATGGTACAATCCAGTTTTGAGTTTAAAGTCCAATATATCCCTAAACACAACTCCTAAGAGGGTGTTCCCAGGCAAGATTCCTTGCTGTCCTGCTGGGGCAGATTCCTTCAATAGCCTCTGTGGTGCAAAGAGCTGTGCTAGCTAAGCCCAAATATGGAAGAAAAGTTCTAAACCTACCGTAAAAGCAGGAATTGAAATCTTGAGCGCAGCTGGTTTGGGGCTGCACATACCAGAATGTGGAAGTGATCTGGCCTATGACATTGGTGGAGAATATACAGATGGATCTAGGACAAGCAAGGCTTCTAGGTCAAAAGGTTTGCTTGTGCATGAGCCCCACAGTGAGGCAGAACAGCTCCCCAGGTGGCGCTGGATTCTTGAAATCAGGGCTTGCTTGACAGTTCCCTGTTCTCCCTGCTTCACCAACCCTACAGAGCCCCTTCTGAACACAGAACAGTCAGAGGCCAGGATGGTTCTGAGTAACCACCAGCTGTGTGGCCATGGTGGCCCAAGCAGCACAGATCCTTTTGTTGCAGACAGGGCCACACCAACAGAGGCAGCATCATGACATGCTGAGGCAATCATTACAGATGCAAATGGCCGGGGTATGCTCCTGCCAAGCAAACCCTTTGGCAGCTTCCAAAACCCAGTGCTATCATAAATGCCGGAGCAGTGAGGGAAAAAAGGAGGGCAAAAGTAGGGCACTAAGTAGGGCAACATGAAAGCGCTCAGCAATATCCATGGCGTGCACATCCCCAACCATTCATCTCAATGCTACTGCACCACAAAAAGTCCCTTCAGATGCAGCTTGCCTCTGTGGTGGACCGCAAGGAAAGGGTAGTACCACCTAAACCCATTAGCTGCTTACAGCTAGTGTATGTCTATGCTGCAATCACAGGGTGTGACTGCAGCTTTAATCTGCAAGCAATTACCAAGTGTTCTGGCAGGTTTGTACAGTCTGTGCTGAAGCTCACACTGCCGCAGCTCCAGTGTTCCATGAGCGAGCAAGACTGCAGCTAGTGGGTATATCCACTTGAGCAGCAATCACACGCTCTGACCGCAGCAAAGACATACTCTATAGACTGAGTAAGGCTTCCCATAGAAAAGGGAGCAGGTGGCTTACAGGACTGAAAATGAGCTATGTAGCCCGCCCCCATTAGGTTGCCAGTTTGAATCAGCACAAGCTAGGAGTGACTGAAAACTTGCTACCACAGCTTGTCAAATAATATTCTTCAAATAACCGAGTTCTGTGATATTTTTCAAATGAATTATCCAGCTCCAGTTATTACCATCTGATGCCTATCGACTGCCCACTGCCAATGGTTCTCAGCCTGTTTCCTCATCACACAAGCCATCACCACAATTGGCACTAGTACATTGTAGGGTTGCCAACATTGCATTTCAAAAATAAGACTGTTTTCTTAGCACCCTGCCCCACTCCTCCTCCCAATATACTTATTATTATAATTAATTATAATAATGATAATTAATAATAATTAATCAGTACTCACCTACATTCACCAGGGATATTTCTTGCTGCTTTTTGCAGCACTCAGCAACTCCCAATCTTGTTGTACAGAGATGAAAAAATAAAGGTTGTCCCTTGTAATAAGGGACTGTTGATAACCCCTAGTACGTTGCCCTTCTCTAGTCCCTTCCATCCACAGGTCTGAAAGTGTTTTCCCTCACTGAGATAGGTCATCATCATTTTGCATATAAGGAAACTGAAGCATACAGAAGTTACATGACTTGCCCAAAACAAGACAACAGTGGAGGCCAGAGTAGTACTTAACCCTCCTGATTCCAAAGCCTATTATCCTAACCTTATCCTTCCCCTCTTAGCAACTTGAGGCCTGAGCTTGCTCCTATCCATATTAACTGGGGTGTTTCTACACTAGAAAATTCCGTAAAATTTTCCAGTAACAGACCCGCTGCACCAGAGCTAGCAAAGGTAGCGTTGCCAGCGCTCATGAGTGTATTGCGAGTCATGTGACATTTACTGTTTTTTTAAGACCCCCATCTCCTAGAGCGGGGAGTCTTAGCTTTCATTTGGAAACCAGAAGGCAAAGAAAAATAACCCACTTTTTTTTTTAATCTTATGATTGTTGAGGGGCCTGACTCATGATTTGTGGGCAATACTGTATTATTTAACTCAATGGGAGTATGGGATCCTGTATGCCAACCCCCAACATTCAAAATTCATGAGTCAAGTCCCAGAAAATCATGAGATTATTTTAAAAAAATAATATATTTTAGATTCTTTTTGTTTTCTGATTCCAGAGCCTTTAGGGTGCAGCCGCTTGACAGTTTCATGCTTTTTTCAGCAACTCTGAAGACTAGACACTTCAATTCATATATATATGGTAAATGGAAACTGAGATTCTCATGTCATCTCCTGATTCCAGCAGCTGGAGGTTTAAAGAAAAGTCACGGTATCACAAGACTTGAATAAAACCATGAGTTAGCAACACTGCAGGAACCGGGCCTGTAGGGGCAGCCCCAGGAGTCGGACACAGGTTAAAATAGGACTGGGCCCTAGCGACTGAACTGCCCTCTTGCCAGGCCAGGGCAGGGGCTAGCAGTGTGGGGGACCTCGCTTCACCCATGGCCATGTTGTAGCAAAGGGCTCTAGGAGCTGGGCAGCACCAAGACCCAGCCCTAGGTCATGGAAAGGGAGGCACCTGCCACCCCATGGGGAGAGGAAGGGTCACCTCATTCCCTCTGGGAGACACTGGCAAATATGAGAGGCCATCCCCTGGCGCCTGCACCCATGTCACATGACAGCCCCCCCCCTCACTCCAACCACATGACAACCTCCCCCTCTGTCTCCTGCGTCGCTTCCAGCTTGGGGCCGCACCTACCCTGCTGGATGGGCGGCAGCGTGCAGATGTATGTGCTCTCATTGGCTGAGCTGTGAGGGAGGCAGGCCGGGATTGGCCAGCCGGAGTGCCCGTCCGGGGTTAGGTTGGCAGGCTAGCGCGCGTTAACGTCAGTGACTGTCCCCGCTACCGATGGGCTCGGCTGCGGGAAGCTGGCGGGGGGCTACGCTGGCCTGGGCCCTGGCCCTGCTGGCCTGGGCCGGGCGGGCCGGGGCGCTGGACAATGGGCTGGCCCGGACCCCCACCATGGGCTGGCTGCACTGGGAGCGCTTCCAGTGCAGCACCGACTGCACCCGCGAGCCGCTCTCCTGTATCAGGTACCGGGCGGGGGCGCCGGGGCCGCCCTCGGCCGGGGGGGCGAGGAGCGGGAGCCCCAGCCCCAGCCCCAGCCCCGTGTGAACGCTGCTGGGGTTGGATTCGGAGCCGCGGGACGCTGCAGCGGTGGGGTGGGGATTTGGTGGGAGGAGAGCGGTCGGGTGCTTGGGAGCTGAACCTTGTGGCTCTGACTCAAATGAGGAGAGCGTGACTTGCTCACCTTCTGGTTCCCTTTTCCGCAGACTTAATTACAAGGAACAAAGAGCCGCTGTAATTGTGCCCGCAGAGCACAGGGACCTGGTGAAGCCTCGCTTCTCCCTAAGGGTCCATCTGAACATAAGAGCTGCCATAGTGGGTCAAACCGTGGTCTAACTTGCCCGATATCCTGGCTCCAGCAGTGGCCTGTACCAGGGCTTCAGGGGGAATGTACAGAACGGGGCAGTTATGGAGCGATCCACCCCTCCTGGCAGTCAGAGGATTAGGGTCACTTCTAAACCTGCACTGCAAAGGGGCTGGGCAGGGAATCCAGGGACAATGCCGTTGTCTCTAAATACAGCTATGGCCAAGGCTTTAGCATAAATCTGGGACGTGGTTTAAAATACATCCAGTCCAATCTCATTTGCATTCCGAGACATCTATTTTCTCTCCGCATCTGGGATAACCATGTTGTTTTGCAGTACAGGCAGCAAACAGAACCTTGGTCGGTAAAAGGTTTAGCAATCTGGATGGGGAAGGGCGTCTGTGGGAGCGTGTGATCTCCTCCTGGGCTGGAAACAAACCCTCTGCTTGGCATTGGGAATGGCCAGTGTCCCATTCAGATCTTTAAGATGGGCCTTTGACTGGGTTTTTCCCAGGCTAACGTTTCCACATTAATGTGGATTTCCCACTAGCAGACTCTGACCCATTTGTGTAAAGTGCCTTGAAATCTCTGCACGAAAAACACTTTACAAATATTAGGTGTTTGTAGTATTGTCTTTAATCCAAGTGATGTATTTATACTGTACTGTAGCATCTTTGTGTCCTTCCTAGGAAGTAGCTATGCAGGTAGAAACCATGTGGCTAAAAGATCTCCTGTCTGTTTTTAAGATCAGATTTAGCACAACATAATAAATCTTAACACCCTGTTTTGACTAACCATCGTGGTACTGGGACCCCTATGACACCCTGGTTCTTGTGTCCCTCAGTGAGCAGCTGTTTATGCAGATGGCTGACTTGATGGTGTCAGATGGCTGGAAGGATGTAGGCTATGAGTATGTCTGTATTGATGACTGCTGGATGTCTCTGACCCGAGATGATCAGGACAGGCTCCAACCTGACCCAGAACGCTTCCCCAGTGGGATCCGCAAACTGGCAGACTACGTGAGTGTATAGAGGGAGATAGTACCTAAATCCCCAGTCATGGGATCTTCATCCTTCCTCTACTTCAGGCCATTTGGAATATTGCATATAGTAAGAGCTCTAGTAGGTGCCTCACTTAAATAGAGAGATGGCAGGGGACTTTCTCTGACTTACAAAAACTTATTCTTTTGCTTGATATATTGGAAGGTTTATGATTGATGATTTTCAGATTGGCTGCCTAGCAAATTCTGTATATGGCTTTCTAACCCTGGGCTCTGGGGACCCCTGAACTAATCCATAGGAGGATCCTAGCCCTTGGACTGGGAGGGAGGTTTGGTTCTCATTCACATGTTTTCCTCTAGGACTGTGAATTATGTTGAGAGTGAAAAGGGGATCCAAGAGGTTTCTGAGCAGTGATTCTCTCTTGAAAGGACCTGTTCTTGGAGGAGCGGGAAATTCACTCAGCAGCTATGTGGTTAAGGTAGTGCAAGGGACTTTCAATTCTTTCTTGTTCTCCTAGTGCGCACCACTGTTTCTCTCTGCCCAATGGCTGTTGGCTTTCATTGTATGTCTGTCTGCTCCCCTCAGGTCCATTCCAAAGGGCTGAAGCTGGGGATTTATGGGGATGTTGGAAACAAAACCTGCGCTGGCTTCCCTGGCAGTTATGGCTACTATGACCTTGATGCCCAAACCTTTGCCGACTGGGGTGTGGACCTGCTGAAGTTCGATGGCTGTAACTACGGCACACTGGACCAGCTGGTAGAAGGTATGTGCCAACTGTAGACATTCCATGTGAGGGGAATGCTTTCTAGTCAGCACTGTCACAGATCTGAGACAGGTTCAAAAGAGCAGCTCTTCACTGAACATATCCACTGGCACAGGGGATAGGAGGGGGAGAGGGTTGGAGGGGAGGGTGCCATCTGAGAACCTAGGGGAACCAAAAGGAAGCTTCTCTGACAAGCCAAGCATACATGCTGCAGGTCATCTTCATCTTGGGGATTCAGGAATGGGTCACTGACTTCACTTTATCCATTCATCAGCCACCCTTTGTGCATACAATGAGCCTCCACTGCATCTAGTGCCTCCTGCCATGGCTTGGTGCCCTGGGGTCTTTCACAGCTTGAAACCTGCAGGCATGGCTTGAGGGAGCAGCCTTCTCAGACCCAGAGCCTGCATCATTCAAGGGAGAGAGGCTCTCCAGGAGAAGTGATCAGACACACTCTGGGGGCCTCTCCACAGTTTGCTCTGTCACCTGCTAACATTACTGATGCTCAGCCCTTCAATAGAGCCTTTCATCTGAGGGACTCAAAGCACTTTAGACATTGAACCTCTAATCAGCTTATACCTCACAAAAGTGCAATTCCTGTGGCTCTTAGCAGCAAAGGGACTCAAGAGACCTCTGGGAAAAAAACAACTAGGGAACCCTGTGTCTGCACATACAACTTCAGAACTCAGGCAGGTTAGCATAGAAAACTACTAAACTGTCAGTTTACAGTGTCAGTCTATGCTGGGGGGTCAGTCGTGGACCCTCACCACACATCGGCAACCAACTCCAGCCAGACATGCTGTCTAACAAATCATAGACTCACATAAAAGAAGAGGGCAGCTCAGAAGAGTGGCGCTTGGCAGCAGGCAAGCTGGAGCTGGTTCTGTGCTCCCTCAGAGCAAACTGATCAGGGGATCCTGTCCAAGCTGGTTAGCCTAACACACAATAACTTCAGTGCCTGCAAGTGCCCGGCCCACAGCTGGAAAGCACCTTTAGGCAGTTGTCAGTGAAGCTGGAAGTTCTTGGCAGAGATTCTCTGTGACCCTAGGAGAGTTCTAAGTGGGATAGCAAAGGAACTTTCCCTGCCCATGCTTTAAATCAAAGGACAAAACAGGACAGGGCTCCACTAGGTACAGAGATAAGAGTAATGATACTGGAATCTCACCCAATTGGCTGTGTCCTACTACTTACACATTATCCTCTGAATCCAAATGGCTTAGGGATTCATAAGGGTAAGGAGAACACATTACTGAGCTGTGCAATTGTCAGCCACAGCTGGCTTTACTCAAACTGCTCTCGGCATGGAGAACAGCTCTTGAAGTTAAAATAGCAGCTGTCTGTAAAAGCATAACCGAGTTTGCCCAGTACTAATTGTCTAGACTAGAACTCATTGTACAGTGAGGTAGGAGGAAGCCCCATTACATAGCTGTATGTAATTATTATGTCCATTTTACAGAAGAGTACATTGAATCTTAGAGCAGTGTAATGGCTGCCTTAACCTAGGTCATACAGCAAGGTGGTGGCTGAAACCAGTATCTGACTCCAGGTCCAGTCCTCTGCTCGAAGCAATAGACACCTTCTCATAACACCTAGCTCTTATATAGCACTTATCAGTAGATCTTGAAGCTCTTCACAAAGGGAGATAAAGTATCACCCCCATTTTTTAGAAGGAGAAACTGAGGCACCGGCAGAGCCAGGAATGGAACCCAGCTCCCTTGAGTTTGTTGAGTTTTCTGTCTCTAAGCCACATTACTTCCCTCTTCCTACCTGCTCCAACTTCCTGAAAGGCAGGCAATTGGACTGCAGATGTCTGGCTGGACTAGGACAATCCACTCCT